CGACATCTTGGATGGGTGCACATGGTTGGTGCAACTCCAGTTGCAGCTGCTACAATAGTCAATGGTTGTTGCATATTAATGACAACCAACCCAACAGTTACTCCATAGTTCTATAACCTTAAAATGTGCTACGTCCACAGTGAAGCTGTTTGAAACGATCTCATGCTTCTCAAGCAACCAGGTGGCTACTCCATCGTTCCACTGTAACCATAAAATGTGCTACGTCCACAATGAAGCTGTTTGAAATGATCTCATGCTTGTCAAGCTAAGGGTTCATATTAAGGACATTATTATACGAGGGTCATGAGAAACACACGCCATCGTTACAGTAGTACTCATAAAATGTCAAGAGGCTCGAAAAACTGGAAACCTCAGTGATTAGGTTTTAGGACATCTCCCGTACTATTAGAGGAGCTGCCTTGAAGAACTTGAGATGATGAGTAAGTACATGAGGAGCTACCATTTTTAATATTTCTTTCTTCCCTTGGACACTAATTGCCTTCCCTTTCTCCAGTCGGTATATCCTGCACAAATCTTTCAAGTCAGTTTTGGGTCTTCATTTGCCAAGTATTTGTGCATCATTGTGAAGGAACAGGCATTTTAAGTTCATCACATCTTTATTTTTTACTCTTTGATGATCTGTTAACTTGCTTCTGGAATCCTGATTGCTTGAAAAATGGGAACCAGAAGAATAAATGTTGAAACATGGACTGGCAATGGCACCAGGATTCTGATTTCCAAAGAAGACAAATGGCTGCAATGAGGGATGAATGTGAATCGGTCCTGGAGGAACAGGAACGGGAACCGGGGGTGAATAAGGTGGAGGTATTACAACAGTAGGATCAACAACAGCCCATGGGAACATAGCCCTTGCCTTTTGACGATACTGGGCATTTAAATTTTCAATATCAGCTTTCAAAGATGCCCTTTCTTCTCTGAGCTCATTTTTTTCCTGCATTAACTGCTTAAGATATATTTGCATCAAGCCTGCATTAGCTCATTCTTCTCGGCATCAATTACACGAGCAATCACGCAAGCTTAAAGCTTAGTGACCACAGGGAACAAACACAAAGAGCCAACCAGTTGAATTACGTCTGTCAAAACAGTTGCCTTGTCATTCTTTGGCCTATCTGAGTCTGCATGAAAATGTAAGTAATAAGTAACTAGTTAAAAATCAAGCAATTTCACGTTCTATTTGAGAAGAAGTGCATATATGCAGCTCATGAATACTGAAATTATATTATTTATTCACAGTTGCTGCAAAGCCAAAAATTTGTCACAAAGGCGACCAGCTTATGGAGGTGGATGCATCAACAAGCTAACAGCCTAACACGCGCACGCGCATCCCTGATCCCTCTAAAGTGAGAATTCCAATACTGCAATATTAAGTAAATCTTTGAATATAGTCAGAACTAGAAGTCCAGTAATTCAATAATGAGTCGAATGCACAGTTTGAGTTCATAAAAGGAGACAATTCCTGTGTGAAGGCACTGCGAACCAGAATAACAGCACATTATTACATAGTGCGTTACCCAATTCAAGAAACTGCTCATAAAGATTATCCCTCAATTTTTCTGTGTCTGCCTTCTGAACTTCTCTTGCAACAGCTATTGGATCTTTCACTTCCATTTCTTGCCGCTGCCTACCAAGAAGAAAAAAGTGATACCCCATAAAACAAAACCTCAACAGAGAAAGAAAACACTTTAATCAAATATGCACTGCAAAGCCAATTCAAACTCAATAAGCTTCAATCACAATAAGAAAAAGTCATACTAAATTACTGTAAAAGAAATGAACTTTAAACAGATATATATAGTTCAGAAAAACCTCAAATAGAAACAAACTTTAACCAAAACTAAAAACCAAATCACATCAACAAATCGAATCAGTCACGTTAATCCTATATTTGATTACATAAAAAAATTATTCATAGTCAAAAAATAAATATATCCTCATGCTTCAAGGTCAAAATTCCTGCTCCTTCACCCTACAATGATATCTAGAGTAATACTAATTCTCAAACTAAACTCTAAAATCACTCCATGTTCACATCCCAGCGGCCCTCCTCAAATGTATAGTCTCCCATCAAAACTATGATCTATCTAATAATACCTAGGTGTTATAATCTATCCATAAATCCTCTATTATTTTTATCTGATTCATAGTACTCTTCACCTTTTGAATCTATCTACCTCTGATTTTTGTATCTCCTCCAAAAAGAGTTCACAAGTCATCTCATTCATACTCTTTACAATTCATACCAAGGTAGCCACATTGTTCGTGGATGTTGTAACTAGTGGTGCTGCGTGGGCTAACACATTAGACATATTCTTGATCACTACTCTTATTGTATATGCAAGAATTACAAGATCAGGGTAGGGTGGAGGTACTATTACAGGTACCATAGGTGGGTATAGATTCTCATGTCCATCTTCGTTTAATATCTTAGATTGCAACATCCTCCCTTGTAACAACGCATTATCATCCCGAAATCCTGATGACTCTCATTGTCCAGACTGTGCCGACTTTGTGGGCACATAAGAAATAATATCGATTAAAGGATCACCTTCTCAATCCCCACCCATATCCACATTTTAATTCTCTCTTCTCACTGAAGTCTGATTAGTTCTGGCTCCATATTAAGTACGTATTATCTGCAAATAACATCCTCAATTTTTTTAATCAATCACACATCAACATTTCATCATACTTATTAAAAAAAAAGGTCAAATTCTTTTTTCTTCTAAAAATCCATCAAAGTTCATCCTATATTATCAATACGTAGTTATTGAATATACTTTAAATTTTCTTATTAACACCATCATAATCATATAGTTCAACTATCCAAGACCATACCATTCTCAACATTTGAATTCTAGAAATAAAACATACACAATTAAATCTTACAAATATACATAGCAACAATTATATAGTCTAATCATACCAACTTAAATTCATAAAAACTAATATAAAATAAGTTATTGCCTAATTTAAACTTCTAATAATAAAATTTAAGATTAAACATTACAAAACATAAAGATTACTGATTAGTACTTAAAAGTGTATTTTTATCAAGGTTTTATGTCATCATTTTGCACTTGAAGTAGCAATAATTCCTTAACTAAAACATGTTTTATAATAACGTATCTAATAATATAAGATATATTTAATTTGTGGTAAATGTTCATTTTAAATGCAGGCCTATCATATAAATGAAATGATTGATTGATGAATTTAAGAACTGAAATTGAAAGGACAAAGAGATGACCAAATTTAGAAAAAAGATGTTAGTGCAGTCCAAACTGAAATACTGTTCTGTAATTCAGTTATATCTGGAGCTATAGATCTCAGATTTAGGTCTACTTTATATGGATTGAAAGGTAAGACATAGGCCTATAACTTTCATAGAGCCTAAGATTTAAAAAGGTCATTTTCAAGTTCAAATTGTAGCAACAACAAAGAAGCCCGAATCTGTCTTCTAGCTCGAAAACTGTTTAGTGTTTGACTCATATCTGGAGTAAAAGTTCAAATGACCTGAATGTTTTACATAAGAAAACTGAGATAATTTCCTACAATTTTCATGTTTTCAAGTCGTTCTAATTTTGACTTTATCAATGACGTTTTGGGCACCCAAGAGAAGATAAGAATTGTCACTAAATCAAGAGTTGGTCATTCACTCATCAATTAGTCATCAAATCAATAGTTTCTAATTTTGGCATATAAAAGGAGACATTTACCATGCATTTAGGCATCTTGGTTTTCAGATCAAGATCATACTTTTGCTTTCTCTCTTTGTATTTTTTGTAATGTTTATGCTTTGTTTTCATTAATATCAAGTTTATGCCTTTTATTTCCTTTCATTTTCTTAGTTAACTTTTATCTTATTTATGTTCTTATTTTGTTTATTATTTTTCTTTCTTTCATTATGTTTAGTTAAGTTTATTATGTCAAGGTGAAAAGGTTAGACTAATGGTGTAAGAATAAGTATAGTGTAAACTAAATATAGACTTTGATATTTGATACTAACATGTTTTGTATTTGTTATCTTGTTCACTCTTTAATACTTTACTTGTTAAATGACTAATCTTGATTTATGTTGTATAACACTTAGTACAACAAATACTTGGCACTTTCATAACCCATACTATATGGTATAACCGACACCTGAGCTATGAAAGGAACTTGATTTGTTGTTAACATAAGTTATAATCATGAATGTTTGACGAAATTTACAAGTATTAGCATTAATCGAATAAGATGACTAATGTAATCATGTTAACAATCTATAATCTGATTGGAACCTCCTTTGTGTGTGGTTTCCAATTAAATAATAAGAGTTTATACTATACTTGTTTGACATACCATTAGTGGATCTTCTAACCTTGACATTTATTCTTATTATTGTTTAATCCTTACGTTAATATTTCATCTCAAAGTTCTCATCCTCTTCTTCTTCTTCTCCTTCTTTATTATTATTATTATTATTATTATTATTATTACTACTACTACTACTACTACTACTATTAGTACTATTATTAGTACTATTTTTATTTTTATTATTATTATTGCTACTAATATTATTGTTGTTATTGTTGTTATTGTTGTTACTGTTGTTGTTATTTATAATTGTTTATAATTTGAATAATTAACCTCTCTGTAGTTCGACTTCAGTCTTGCCGGGTTATTTGTTACTTTGACACTCCTGCACTTGGGAAAAGACATCGATCTTTTAGTCATGTCAAGTTTTTGGCACCATTGCCGGGAAGGTCAGTTCTTGTACAAATTATAGTATTTATTTTATTTTCTCTTTTCACTTTTTTTATATATAAATTTGTTTCTTTTCTCTTGTTTTTTTTTGTTTTCTTCTTCCTTTTATTTTATTCCTACACGTGCATGAGAGTGTGGTCACGTACATTAAGTGGTAGACTTTGTAAAGTATTCTCATCATTTTCAGAAAATATGGCCGAATAAGATAATCAATCACTTCATAATAAGAATAATAAGAATAATCGTGTTAGAACACTTAGAGACCACATGAATCCCACAAGAACAAGTGCACCATCATGCATTGTCTTTCCTCCTTATGCATCTCATTTTAATTTTAAACTAGGCATTATTCAACTTTTACCTTCTTTTCATGACTTAGATTTGGAAAATCCATACTTGTATTTAAGGGAATTTGAGGAGGTTTGCAACATATATAATGATTCAAATTGCAACACATATAATGACTCAAATTGTAGCACAAACATTATCAGATTAAAGCTTTTTCCTTTTTCATTAAAAGATAAAGCTAAAACATGGCTACAAAATTTGAGACGAGGATCCATTCGTGCTTGGAATGAAATGCAACAGTAGTTTTTAAAGAAGTTTTTCCCATCTCGCAGAACAAACTCTTTCAAAAGACAAATCATCACTTTCACTTAAAAACCAGGAGAAACATTTTACCAGAGTTGGGATAGGTATCAAAACCCACTTAATACTTGCCCTCATCATGGTTTTGAAACATGCAGATTGATTTCATATTTTTATGAAGGGTTAACACCTAGAGATGGGCAAATGGTTGAATTGATGTGCAATGGAACTTTTGAAGATAAAGACCCTGATGAAGCAATGGAGTACTTAGACTTGTTAGCTGAAAATGCACAAAATTAGGACAACGTGGGTACTTATGAGACACCGAGTAAAACTCAACCTTATATATCTAGTGGAGGTATGTACAACCTTAGGGAAGATCATGACCTCCTAGCCAAGTTTGCATCTTTAGTTAGAAAAGTCGAGGCACTAGAATTGAAAAAGAGTGGTAAATTAAAATCTGTTGAAAACATTGTGTGTCAAATATATGAAACAAATAAACACTCAACCAGTAACTGTCCAACCTTGCCTTCTTTTAAGGAATGCCTCCATAAACAAGCCCATGCTTTAAACAATTTTTAAAGGGCCAACCATAACCCATACTCGCAAACATACAATCCTGGTTGGAGAAATCACCCAAATTTCAGTTGGAAGAGTGATAATAACAATGTATAAATTTCACAACCACCATTTCAAGCACACCATAATTTCCAAAATTCTCATAGATATGCACCTCCTTATGCTCCACCTCTTATAAGAAATTTTGAGGAAACTTTGTATGCATTTATTGAAAAGCAAGAGATAATAAACACTCAACTTGCTCAAAACATAACAGATTTTAAAGATACTCTTATAAAATTCACATCTGCTCTTAATTTTCAAGAGAAAAGAAAGTTTCCATCTCAACCACAGCAAAATCTCAAGGGGCAATACAATGCAAATACAAGTAGTCCTGGAAGTCCACACATGGATCAAGTCAAATCAGTAATCACTCTTTGTAGTGGTAAGGTTGTTCAAAAACCAATTCTTCAACCTTCTGAGAAAGATGATGAGTCAATCTCTAAGGGTAAGGAAGGGGTTGAATCTGAACATTGCAAAGAAAAGACTAATTCCTCTCTAGCACTTCTATTTTCTCATGCCATGACCAATCAAGAAGAAATCAAGGATGAAAAAGGCACCGAAAATGTTAATGCAGATCTTTTATCAAAAGTGACAACAGATTCGACACCCGACATCACACCAATCAATGATTACTTTCCTGATAAATCTCTACT